TTGTAATTTATTTTGTTGCGTTCACAAGAGATCTAGCTTGTATAATCTATAGTTAATGTGATAATTTGTATTGACATGATAAAATATTGTGTTTATCGGTGCAAATGGAATATATTAAATTAAAAATTTTAAACAAAATGTGTAAATCGGATCTTTACCATAAAAGCAACGATAAATGTGTAAATCAAATATTTACCAAAAAATAGCGAAAACGTTACAAAGTAATTATGTATCGGAATTTCTCCATAATCAAAACCAAAAATAAAAACTGATTTTCATTTCAAAATGCAAAACAAAAATATGGTAACAGATTTGATAAAATAACACTACCCATACCATAACAAAATCCGAATTTCAATGAAAAGATATATAGGATGCAATTAATGTAGTGATTGGGTATAATTAAGACGTGTTTTAAGATTATTTTTTCTAGTATGTAATTAATGCATTATGGCGGGAAAAGGTTATTAAAAATAATTTATGGTAATTCTTGTTATATTTATATAGATATAGATCTCATTTTTTTTTTGCTTTGTGTATTGTTGATAACTCCATCACTTCCCTTCGATATGTTTATATTTTTTTTTCTCATATATATTATTTTTTGTGTATGTATTTGTGTGTACGATGAGTGAAATATCAAAACAATGATCATATTTTTTATGCAAAGCGAATAATGTAAGACAACGGAATGTTGAATTTGAAACTGAAATATTATCGAGGATATTAATAGAATATGTACAGTTTTTCTATATTGTATTTTTCACCCTCAAGGCTTGTATTATTTACACATCTGTACATTCATTCTAATCATTATATGATATAAGAAAACCATATATAGTTCTTTGTTTTTCTCTCTCAATGATGTGTTGTTGCTACTCTGTTAGATATCAATTATTCCTAAATTTTAGTGGTTTACAAATTAGTGATCACATTTTGAGGATGATTGAAAGCTTTGAATGTTTTATAGTTGTGTGTATTTTTATAATTATTTAGGCCATGATCTTTAAAAGACAGATAAAGTTTTTTATATAATGTATGGATATACAATATATATATATATTTCAATTAAATAAATAATGTATCTGTGACTAATAAAATCAAGCTACAAAAAAAATGTCAGGAATTAACAGTTGTTGAAAAAAAAAATCTATTTTATGGAAGATTGTTTTTTATCAATTCAGTATTTATTTTTACTATAGTCATATAGGTAATGATAACTTAAGAAAATGACATAAATTATATTATTTAGGAAAATCATATATTCACTGCAGAAAGAATTCAGAAACATTGAAATGTTAATGCATCATAGATTTTAAATTTATTTTTTTTATTTTGTATCTATATTAATAGTGATTTTTGTTTGGATCAATTTATGAGATGTAGGTGATTTGTAAAATTTGAATGTCTTGTTATGTTCAGTTTTTAAGAACAGTTAATATTTATTTTAATAAAAAACAACTTTTTAAATTTAGATACTTATGTAACTTATTTATCATAAATAGTTATTTTTTTAATTGAAATCATACT